CTAATAATGATAATATGTAAAGAAATGTACTTACTCTGTATTGTACACATTGTGATAATGTCAACGAACAGTTGAACATCGCAGTTGTACTTCGCGCGCGAGTGCCACGAGTGACTCTTGCCGCATCCACATAACGCGATATGAAAAGAGCCAATGGCCATATCCGAGCACAGTTATTGGTTGTTATCGCGTGTTTAGGTAAGGGCGCTCTGTTCTTGCGTTCTGAATACGGGCTTTAATAATTAAAATAAAGTTTCTAAAATGTTCTATTTTTTAATACTCTGTGTAATTAACATGTATAAACTAATAAAATAAACTAATATATAGTGATTAACATTGTATACAATGATTGTATGTTAATTTTGTACAAAAGTAATCACAGACATGAACGATATAATACTGAGTCGCTTATACATTTGCACCTCTACTCAAAAAACGAGAAAAAAATAAATTTGTAATTAAAAATAAGTATGCGTGCCATTTCGCTTATACGTTTGCACTTCTACTCAAAAAAACAAGAAAAAAAAATTAATTTGTTTGTAATTAAAAATAAGTATGCGTGCCATTTCGCTTGTACATTTGTACTTTTACTCACAAAATGAGAAGAAAAAATAATTTGTAATTAAAAATAAGTATACCTGCCATTTCACACACAAAATGTTACTTAGATAACAAAACATCCATAATCTTTTTGCATTTCTCATCTCTATTTTCTTCTGGTAACTGCGAAAGCCGTGATATGATGAACTTAGCGAAGTGTTCATCTGCAGGTAGATAATTTTCGTTTCCTTCCTTTTTTTGGAGTACATATTTTTTAAGTACATTTGCGGTATTTACAAATGAACTTTCAACTACATCGGATTCATTCCTTTTTTTTTTTCGCTGTATGCCGCCAGAAAAACATTTTGTTTGGATATTAGGTGAGAATGGAATCAAAGTTGTGGACAATTTCGCTGCCGCAACTTGTTTCTCTGCAGAGTGTGATATAATATCTTCCTTCACAGTCAACATATCATTTTGACTGTAGTCAGAAACATCAGAAGCTCTGTCTGAAGATGCGGCAGCATTATTAGATTTATAAATATTTTCATATGTTGATGTTGATGGAGTAGATGAAGTGCTGCCTATAGAAATATCTGATGTGCATCCAAGAGATATGACTGGCTGATAAACTCCCGTAGATGTTTTAAGTGTGGTTGTTATTGAGGGTTCAAAATTCTGCCAGTTTCTGGTAATCCATGTACGCTTCCTTCTAATTGATCTTCAGGGAATCTACGCATACACAATACGAAGCGTACAATATATATCTTTTTTACGGAAAATTTCTTTCAGTACAAGTAAAACGCAATAAAAGAAAGATTGTCGCTTTTGCTAAAGAGGCTCAACGGTTTCAACCAAAGAATCAATAAATTATATGATTATTTCATTTTATCTGACAAGAATTGTTTTTTTCTTAATGTTTTTGAACGGTGCAAGGAAATAACGATCAATGTTCACTTTTTGTTGAAATTAATCTGGTCAAGCTCTCTTGTAACAAAGAACTCATAATTCTTATCTATTTTTATCAAGAACAGTTACAAATCATCGGAAATAATGCCGAAAAATGTATCGTGCTGGAGGAAAAACGATCATAATATAATGTAAACACTGCAGTATGATATTCACCAGTACTTTTTTCAATAGCTTCCTATATATCTGATGTCTTGAAACTTAAAATCACGTTTTTCTTAAAATAACTCAGGATAAACATTGATTGTTTTTCTCCTGTGTCCTTTACTTTCTATTAAGCGTTTCGATTGTATGTACTTACTTGTTCTGGACTTGACTCTCCATCTTGATACTTTCTGGAGATCTGCTCTGGACTTTTTTAAATTCTTGATTAAATTGAGCTATGTTGGGACTTTGTTGACCTGCGGATGTACTTCCCCTGTTGAAAACAAATAAATAATGAGAACATTAATATAACACTCTAATATAAGAACATTACTCTTCAACAAACCTTACACATTTCTTTGTTTTTAAAAAACTAATATTTATTAAATTTTCAAAGAAAACCATAAAAAGTATTAAACCGTCAGGATGAAGCCCTTTTTCGGTAACTAATACATATTCTTTTACAATAAAGAAAAACTAATAATTAGTAAAAGACAGAATTTTATTAAAAAAACCTTTCGTTTTGGTGACTAAAATTCAATTCGTCCGAAGGATTCTTTTCAGATTTGGTGCCAACTTGCAATGAAACGTTGCTAAAGTTCCTACAAAACAATAATTACAATAATTAATATACCATTAACATAATCGATTTTTCATCAATTTATACCTTCTTCTCTGGATGTGTTTATCCATGAATTTCATGCTTTCAAACAACGGCCATTGTTTAATTGTTTGTATACCACTGCCACTGCGTGTTGCCTGTTCATTTAATCTTCTTTGTCTGCAGTACCTAGTTTTTAATCTTTTCCACCTTTCTTGTACTTCTTCGGCTATGAAAAATTAAATATTTTTTTCAAATTATTTTTAGATTATATTTCTATATACGAAACGATTTTAAAAACATACCTGATATGTTACATGTTTTTGCAATTTCTTCCCATGATTTGTTTTTCATCATGTTGTCTTTAAAATTTTTAACATTTTTGTCGTACAAGTGATTATAACTTTGTACACACGTAATTATAAGTTCGTTTAACGTATTGACGAAATCACCGATTTTGTCATCTTCCTGATCTTCCATTGTTAAATCAACATCAATTATATAATTTGTTGGGTACGTGTGATCACTGCACATATTGTGATGTCTTCTTCCGTTATTTGGTGAATGTCTGTTTTCAGATACGGGTGTCGTGATGTCGAATGTCGGAACAGAGTCTCTCTGGTAGAACACGCGGTCATATAGTTAGAACAAGTGAGGTTATGTGACTACTTTCCTTGGCGTAAATTCTAAAATTCCAACATGACGGAAATTTGTGACTACGGTTCAGGCCATTGCACGTAACATTGTTTTTAGCAGAGAGAAACCTGAGAGCGGCCATCCCGCTTCGGGGGACGCCTGTCCTAATCTGCCCTCTGAGAAAGTGGACGTCAACTACAGCGTTACGCTAGGTAACGATCAGAGAGATCTCGGGTAACGATACATGGGTTCGTATCCGTGCTATGGTTCGTGTCCGAACTACTCAGATGGAGGGCTGATGTGCTGGTCGCGCAAGCCCCTCCTCTGTCAGTGTACGCTCGGCACTCGGCAAGTTTCGCGCGGGGAGAGAAGGGCAGACATACGATCTGCTGTTTCCTTCTCTCTTGAGCTGTTAGAGGCCACGCATTTCAGTTTCAGGTATCGCCTCTCATGTCTCGCCGAGTGCCGAGTCTTGAGTTGGCAAATCGACGATGCGCTATGTTACATTTATGTTTATATTTACGAGTTTTAATTGTTATATTTATAAATATTGCAATTATATTTACAAAAAAATTGCAAATTAATAAATAAATTTTATTAAACATAAAATCGCGTATAATTATGTACTTCCGTAGTTTTTGTACCGTTAAAATTAAACATAAAATTAATTAATTAAATAAATATTTATAAACATAAAAACTAAAATTCGGAAATGTAATGTATAGAAATTCCCGTTCTGGCCAATATGCTTTTTTATCTAGAAAAAAAGTCATATTAAAAACATTAACTTTGGGATAATATTTAAATTTAATATTTAAATGCATAATAATAGTAAAATATTAACTATCAAGAAAAAAGGTAGTTTATAGTGTTCTTTTTACTCTTATTAAATTTGCTAAATCACGAGCACCAAAAGAGAGATATTGGATTAAAATAAAAACAATTTATTATACAAATAATGCACACGGTTAATGTTTCGACTATAGTTAGTCTTCTTCGGAACGGATTATTACGAAAGAAAAAGTTAAATATCAAGAAACATAAATAATTAATGTTCATTTAACATACTAAAACATTAAACATTAGTCTAGACTAAAACATTAAACAATCACCTAACAATATAAACAAAATAAACAATTAATCTAATTGAATCACAAATATAAAAACGCCGGAATAATCGAATGAAACCATGGCAAGATTATTTATATTGAAAAGTGGTAAAATCTGCTCTTCCGTCAGGAAGAGAATGTAAAAAATTATTAACGGGGGTATTTTGATTTAAAAGATTTTTAAAATATATATTTTGCAGGAATTTTTTATAGGAAAACAAAGAAAGTGAATAACGTTAAACTTTGCATGTTCACTTCACCTTATTTTAAAATTTT